TGCTGGAATGCCCCAGGGCACAAAGAGTGTGGAAGCAGGCTCAGGTGACTTGGGATGGGATAAAGCTGGATGGTCGTAGTTTCAAAGACTAGTGGGGCTCCATTTGTTCCATTAGACCTGCTGCAGTTGATGAGGCAAGGATAGAGCTCACCACATACATTTTGTGGTGGTTCCGGAAATCCCGCAATCTTTGGGTTTTTTAAGGAGTCTGGAGAAATGAGAGGAGCATACTTGCAGGTGCTTGGGAGGAATGACAAGAGGCAGCAAGATTCTATAGCAAAGGAGCAGCTCAGAGTTTGGAGAACTTAGCTAGATCTGTGAGATAGTTCAGTGTCTGGTTCTCTTTTCTCTTTATCTTATGTTGTATTGCTATTTTCACTTTGTGATTGTTTTCATTTAGTCACTGGAGGGCTCACTTTGTTTCATTGCCTTTTGTGTTGTTTATTTTCTTGTATTTAGCCTACTATGTTTAGTAGTACTCTCTAGTTTAGCCTTCAGTATTAGGATGTGATCTGTTTGTATTTGAACACCTTTTTCGATTTATTGAGTATCCTAACGTTTTTTTAAAAGAAAAAAAAAAGAAAAAAAAAAAGGAAACTATACATTAAGAACGTCAAATGTAGACCATCTGTACGGAATCTCCAAGTCCAAACAAAATCTTGCTACAAGAGGTCTTGCAACATATGCCTTGATAAGATAATTATCAATCTTGGGAGAATACCATGTGAGCCAGGGACCCCTTTGGGGCTATGCTTGCCAATTACCCATTTGGTCATGTCTCATTCACATGTGTTGTAGATCATTATTATAAGATCGACATAGTGATTCAATAATCATAATTACTCATCTATCAAAGTCAGATTTTTTATTTTTTTTTTCCTTAAAGAAAGGCCAACCTAACATTACATATTGGTATTATTATAAGATCTGTTTTGTAATTAAAAAAAAAACATTGAAAGGAAAAATTGAGTAAAGGAGTAAAAAAAATATATATTTTGGTGGAAGAATGAAATCATTTTGAGACGGTTAATAAATACATACTAGTACAGAGCCCGTGCGATGCACGGGGTGCACAATTTTAAGGTCATTTATCCATTCTTATAATTATATAAATGAAAAAAAAATGTACGGGATATATATAGTACGTGGCCTATAATAGGCCAAAATGTGAACACGGGTGATGCACGGGGTGCACAATTTTAAGGTCATTTATTAGTGCATACCCCGTGCGATGCACGTGATACATATAATAAATCAATTATTTCTATAGGACTTGTACGTCTAGACAAAAAAAAACAATAGGCTTGGATCATCCATATTTCACATCTTTTAATAAGTGCCGCTTATTTAAGGCAAAAAATTAACATGTTAATTAATATATAATTCCGCTAACACGTCATACTAATATTTATTTGATTATAGAATACATATTTATTCATTGATATAGAAAAAAAGTAAAAATTTTATTAATTATTGTTCACCATATAATACTCAATTATTATTTTATTATAAAATTTACAGTCATATAATGTAATTATTATTATTTATAAAAGTTATAGAAGTAGTCTTCTTTATGTAATGAAATTCAAAATAAAATTTTGAGTATAAATGTTTACAAAATACACACACATGTTTTTTAGAATTCAATTTTCTCATAATAATTTTTTTTAAAAAAAAAAAAATAATTTAGCAATTGCCAAAAAATAAACCCCTTACATAATCAAGGGATTTTTTTATAATTTTCATCCTAAGGCTTTATAGTTTATTTAACATACTATGCAATAGAAAAATATTTTACAATAAGTTCATTTTTGAAACATAACAAAAAAAAGTGATAAAAACACTATCATAATTGACAATAATATAAAAATAAATAACATGTCCAAATTTTAAAGAATAACTATAATTTTATTATCTAATCATCCATAAAATCATTTAATGATGTGATCATTATCTTTTAAATAAGAAATTATATTAATTTTTTAAAAAAAATATTAGTGTTATATAATTAAATAAAGGTTAAAAAATATTACTCGACAAATATTAATTATAATGGATATCAGTAAAATCATTGCATAAATTATTTAAAGAAAAAACTTGAAGATCATATTTCAATAGTAAATGTAAATATGCAAGCATTTAATGCATATAGTAAAAAGTTTCCAAATAAGTAAGTATTAAATGTGTGTTGACTTTTCTTGCTACTGTTTTTGGTAAATAGGTTGACTTTTAATATATATATATATATAGATAGATGAAATAAAATATAATAATTTGGTAGAAACATAATAAAATAATAAATGCAAACAACTGATAATTAGAAAGATGTGAATAGATAAATAGTATTGGAAAAAAAAGTGAATAGATAAATAGTAAATTTATTTATTATAAAGTTGAATGATATATTTTGAAAAAAAAAAAGAATAAAATTGCATCCGTGGGCGGTCCCAAAGAAAAAATTCAAGAAAGGGACATAGCCCCAATGCTCTTCTTTGGTAATTGGGATTTTCAAATTCCCAATCATGTTTCTAGCGGAAAATCGGTCCAGGACAATTCATTCTTTTTTCTCTTTTTTTTTTTTCAATACTCCCTCCTATTTTTTTTTAATCTTTTTTAAATGTCATTCTAGCATTTTCAATTATTTGCCAAATAAATATCATTTTGAATCTTTTGTACATATTTTTCTATTATTACCCTAATTTAGTCAATAAATGTATTACGTCTTTTCATATTCACTCTTCACTTTTTCTCAAAACATCCCTCTCTATCTTCATTAAATAAAGTTACTATTGACAAAAAAAATAATCTTAATTAGTATGCAACTTCTCAGGCAGTATAATACTCCATCCTATTCATAAGTACTACCGTTTTGAAAATTGCTATAATCCTCATTAACAAAGATAGAGATTATATTCTGAAAAAATATAAAGAGTTAATATAAAAATACGTAATGTATTTATTAGCTAGATGAGAGTAATAATAAAAATATATGTATAAAATATCTAAAACGATATTTATTTGGTTAATAATTGGTAATGCGACAGTTTAAAAAGAATAGAAAAAGTAAAAAAAGTGGATAAATGAAAAAGAAAAATGAAATGAGAGGAGACAGGAATTTCCGTGGTGTTTCAGTTTCTCAAACTTCCAAATCTTGGGTCTCTTCAAAATCCAGGGACCTCTCTCTCTCTCTCTCTCTCTCTCTCTCCTTTTTCTTGAATTATCTTCTTCTACTAGAGCTCTATACACTCTATATTCATACCATATAGGCTTAATAGCCACTACCAAGACAATAATTTGCCATCAACTTGAAGAGATTTATTAACGTTAAACCTGGGAAAAAACAGCCGGTGTTTCCTGATAATTTAGGAATGGTAACCGACACATTGTGCTTTGTCCTAAGCCCACTCTCTCTTTCTCTCTCGAAAATGGTTTAAAGAAGCTGAAAGGTGGAATCTTTAGGCTGCCCACTAACTAATGCCATTCACCTTTATATCAGTAAGAGTCTTTTTTTATCTTCCTTTAATGTTTTTTTATTTTTTGTGGGCAAGAAGAATCTTGTTATCCTTCGTTCTCTGTAGTGTGTGCAAATTGCAATGCCTCTCTTTTTTTTTTTGTTTTTGTTTTTGTTTTTGCTTTATTCTTACTTTGGGAAAGAAAGCTGGGGAATCTTTGGAGAACTTACTTAGAGGCCCTGATGAATTTGTTGAATTTGAGAATCTTTTTACTTTTTTGTTATTTTTTTGTTCGTTGGAAGTAGACATGGCCACGGGCCGAAGATCTGATATAATTATGGCTCAACTCTCAAATCTGAAGCAGGTTTCCCTTCTTCTGTGGTGGTCTTTTTTTCTTGCCATTCACTTTGTATTGCATTTCTTGGGGGTATCTAGTCGTTATTTCTTGTTTATTTTTATTGTAATTTTTGTGATCAATCCATTTTTACATAGCTAATGTTTACGGTAATGATTTCTGAGTCTTGAGTCTCTGACAAGAATTAAGCTTTTTGAATATAGATTCTTATTAGTTGCTCGTTGAAGTCGAGCAAGGAGTGAAGCATAATTCTTGTCTGTCAAGATTTGTTTTGTTTATTGTAGCTTAACTGCATTGTAGGAATATCCTTCTCTTTTATTTGTAATTTTATTCGTGGCGTTTGTTTCCACTACTTCTTTGAAAACTTGACAGTAAATTTCAAAACTATTATCAGGCTATAACCAATTGACGTGTATCGTTATATTTGGAAGGGAGAAAAATTGGTAGATAATCTTTTGTTTATACAGCACTAGTTTGCCCATGGCACAAAACTGCAATTGCTGGCCATTTCCTTCAAGTATCTTTGCTTGAGTAATAATTAGCTATCTCGATTCAAAAGATTGTTACTACACTTTCACATATTAGCGGCATAAAAAACTAGTTTGCCTCTTTTGTTGCATTTTGGTTCATTTATCACGTTGAGTGCCGGCTCTTCGACATACCTGGTATATTGTATGCTGTTACTATATATGTGAGGCTTGTATGTCTTTTCTCATCCACTATATGCCACGATATGGTCTAGGCCGGAATGTGAATGTAATTCCTTTATGTATTTGCTGGGACATTATTGATGATATAGGGGTTAGGGAGTGCTTGCTTTCAACCACTTAAAGTAGGTGTCTTGCAACTTTTTAGCTGGAAAAGAGTTGACCTTTTTTGTATTTCCAAATGTCAACTTCGGATATTTACTCTGCATAATTTAATCAAAACTGAAACTCGGGAAAATGGATTAACTTTTCGGTGATGCTTGTAGTTGTGATTTGAATTTAAACATAGAAAATGCAATTTACACCATATTTACAAAATGCTCTCCTTTCGTACTTTCTATTGTTTCTCGGTGTCCTTAAATTCTAAAAAAACAAGTTTCATCTTTCCACTAACTATGCCCGTGTTCTGTTGTTGCCTTTTCTTTCTCAGGTGCAGAAAATGGTATTAGGTCTTTAACTCATATTCTGTTGCATTATACAAGCAACATGCCATTAAAATCAAGGAAAGATTGGAAGTCGATCGTGCCCTTGTGTTTAACAACAAAATCGGCTAAACGTTTTTGCTTATTTTCAAAAGTGAAGTCCGATGGCTGTGGGCCCAAAGCCACGCCAGTTTACCTCAATGTGTATGACTTGACGCCCATGAATGGTTATGTTTACTGGGCTGGCCTTGGTATATTTCACTCTGGGGTTGAAGGTACAATTTTTCCTATATCTACTTTTAATTGTTTCTGGATCTTTGTGTTTGTAGTTTCTTTGCCCAGTTAGTTATAGGAACCGATGCTCGATTTTAGCTTACCTACAGAAGAACTCCAGTTATATTAAAAATTATGTATACCCCTTAAAGCGTCGAAAAACACATGCTGAGGTTTCTGTGTACATAACAAATGTCCGTCTATATGCAACTGTATCAAAGGATTGCATGTGGTCTCTTTTGTTGTTGGACTAAACTTGAGCAGTGGGTCGATATTGGTTTCTAATTTGGAAGTCGGTCTTTTTCCATAAAATTCTGTGAAAGTTTACATTTGTAGTGAAGCTTAACCTTGGTGGAGTTGACAGTTCACGGCGTGGAATATGCATTTGGAGCTCATGACTTTCCATCTAGTGGTGTTTTCGAAGTCGAACCTCGTCAGTGCCCTGGATTTCAGTTCAGAAAATCCATATTTGTGGGGACCACATCAATGGATGCTGCTCAGGTCAGGGAGTTTATGGAAAGACAAGCCGCTAGGTATAATGGCGATACGTACAACCTCATACTAAAAAATTGCAACCATTTCTGCAAGGACATATGTTACAAGTTGACGGGGAAGACAATTCCAAAGTGGGTTAATCGACTCGCCAAATTAGGTAAAGAAAAATCACGTGATAATTTCAAAAGTTACCATTCATTCAGGTTTACCCTAATTACAGATTAACTTGATTTTCGTTACAGTAAACTTGATTTGGAGGAGGCATTTATAATTTTGAAAGATAGCCTTTATTTTTTCTTTAATTGTAAATATATTTGCTTTTTTTTTCCCCATTGCCTAGGCTCGATCTTCAATTTTGTCCTACCGGAAGCCCTTAAAATCAGTGCGGTGCAACATGACCCAAAACAGCAAGCATTTGACGTTAGTGAGAAGAGAAGGCTAAGAAGTACTTTTACTTGTCTGTCCTCGATCTCGTCTAGGCAAAAACAGTTGTCGACTTCCTCGTTGTTGCTACAATCTCCCTTGAAAGGTTGCTTGCCCCCTTGGGAACTAAAAAGGTCCGCCAGTAAGTCCCTCAAGGAAAAGGAAAGATGACGTACATTTGCTACCACTATTGGAACTGGTCGGCCTTCTTGCATTCGGAGTGTGATTCAAGATTCCTTTTGCCCATTTGTTTTTTTTGTCTTCATAGCTTATGTATTCATAAGTTTAGCATGTGGATGATGTAAATTTCAACTATATGTCCACAATGTCAAACCACTGTGTTATGGCTATAGATAAAACTTGATGGCTTGAACGGTGTTTTATGCTGTGATTATGAGCTCCAAAGTCTAGCTTCTCAATCATATCTGGCTTTTGAACTTCATTGTGCATCAAGGAAACCCGAGACAATTTACTAGCTAACGATATATGTTTTGTAGACATAAACGATCCAAACAAACGGCAAAATAAATATGAAACTAAAGCCTCAAATGAAACTGCAGCAGAAGGATTTGTACATTACGTATAATAATAATAACGGATGAACTCATCCAGCACAACTGTGGGGGCATTATTTGAATTTTCGTGGTACAACAAAAAAATACGTATATACAATGTATATTACATACACGGGGAAGCCATATTATCCATCACACAGTAAACGTGTAGGAACACAAAAAAGATGATTCAGGTTATACCATGTACCTACCAACCGAGAGAGATTTGGTATAGCTCTTGAAAAGGCGAAACGAAAATAAATAAATGAAACAAGGAAAAAAAAAAAGCAACAACTTCCACGGAAACATCGTCCCATTTCATTAATCGACTACCAATTAGTGCGAGAAATATTTACAGAAGTTGAAGACTAAAATTTAACATGTTTTCATCCTCATGGAAGGAAAACCTTAACTACTGACTGCTTCCTATTAATTAAAAACTGTGTCAACTTCCAAGATGGTGGACAATCATCACGGTCAGGGCTGTAAAGTAATCAATCATCTTTGTGACGCAAAACAGTGGGCGTACTAATATTACCATTGAGAGCTTCAAGATAGACTCTTTTCTCTGCCAGTCCAACATCTGAAAGAATCAAATTGGCCTGCATCATATAGAGTAAACAGCAAAAGGGACGTTCAGAGGCAGGAGAACATTATTTTTTTGATTTTTTATTTTTGGAGTTCTTCGGAATAAGTATAATAAATCCTAGCATGTCACAAGGAAATCCATTTTGCCTTCAGAATTCAACTTATGTAATTTGCAGCATATAGCTGCAGCCTGCAGCATCTTGAAATAGAGCAGGTTTCATCAACTGAGGGAAGCCTAGTTTATAAATTGACATTGCAGTGTTGATATTTTATAAAGACACAGAGTAACAAGGTGAGAATAAATGGAAGGACAGACAATCAAGTAATATTCCGAATTTTCACCCTTCAAATATGATTTTCTTTTTATTTATACTTTTTTGGCCAAAAAATGGTGTACCTCACGAGCTATCAGCCTCCTGACATTTTCAGCGTAAAGCTTGGGATCTGCTTTCTCTTGTTCTGAGGGGCGGTAAACAGGTAATTTAGTTACTTCAATGTAATTTGCAAACTGACACAGAAGAAGAATCACATGGCGAACCTGCAAATGAGATTTAAGGTATCAAATCAACAGAAGCGAATGTGATCGAAAAGGGAAAGGATATATGGATCTCATAGGTTTAAACTGCAAACAAATTTAATAAATTTTAAATTTCTCGACATGTATGGCCAGCTATCAATGGTGCAAAAAGATAGAAACCAGCCTGTGGTTCTCTATTAATTGCATGTAAAGCATCTCAATATCTTTAACCATCATCCACAACTACCATTCTAATCTCATCACCAATTTTTGAGGTAGTAA